TAGGTAGGATAGTGATAGGTGACTGCAGGTAGGGAGTGGGCCAGATTGGTCAGTGGGATAGGAGGAGCAGATAGGTGGGAGAGAAGATGGACGGGTTGCGTCAGGTCAAAAAGGCAGGGATGAGACGAAGGGTTGGAGATGGGATGAGGCTGGGGTGGGGAGATTTTGAAACTGGTAAAATCCACATTTAGGCCATCGGGCTGTAGGGTCCTGAGGCGGAATATGAGGTGTTGCTCCTCCAGTTTGTCGGTGGTAATCATTGTGACACTAGAGGAGGCCTAGTCTGGACATGTCACCCATGGAGTGGGAGGGAGAGTTAAAATACTTGGCGACCGGAAGGTGTTGTTGTTTGTTGCGTACAGAGCACAGATGCTCAACAAAATGGTCTCTGAGTCTACGCTTGGTCTCACCGATGTACAGGAGGCCACATCGGGAGCAGCGGATACAGTAGATCAAATTGACGGATGTGCAGGTAAACCACTGTCTGATATTGAAGATTTGTTTTATGCCTTGAATGGAGGTGAGGGGCGAGGTGTAGGGGCAGGTGTAGCACTTCCTGCGGTTGCAGGGAAAGGTGCCAGGGGTGGTGGGGTTAGTGGGGTGTGTGGAGCAGACAAGGGAGTCAAGGAGAGAGTGGTCTGTCCAGAAGGCAGATGGGGTGGGGAGGGAAATATCTGTTTGGTTGTGGGATTGGATTGTAGGTGGCGGAGAATGATACGTTGGATGTGGAAGTTGGTAGGGTGATATGTGAGGACAAAGGGGATTCTATCTTTATTTTTGTTGGGGAGAGGGAATGTGAGGGCAGAAGTACAGGAAATGCAAGAGATGACATTCTTCACTGTCTACTACACCACCAGTTTTGGTGTCATCTGTAAACTTACTAACCATTCATCCTATATTCACATCCAAATCATTTATATAATGACAAAAACCTTTTCTATGTTTTAGTACATGCAAGGGCTCTGCTCCCACCACTGTCTGTCACAAGGAGTTTCAAAGACTCACAACACTCCTCAAATTCCTTCTCATCTCAGTAGTCTTAAATTGGCACCCTTTATTCTGAAATTATCTCCTCTGGTCCTAGACTCTACCATGAGGGAAACATCCTCTTAGTATTTATCCTGCCAAGCCATGTAAGAATCCTATATTTTTCAATGAGATCACTGCTCATTCTTCTAAATTTCAATGAGTAGAATCCCAACTTGTCTAATCTTTATTCATAAGATCAGGGATCATTATTGTCAGCATTCTTTGAGCTGTCTCCAATGAAATTATATCTTTCGTTAAACAAGACAAATCAAAACTGTTCACAGTACTTTGTACAGTCTCAGTAATACTTCCCTACTCATTTTTCCAACCCCCTTGAAATAAGGGCCAACATTCTATTCGCCTTCCTGATTCCGACTGCACAAGAGTGCTAGCTTTCTGTGTTTCATGCACAAGTGCCCCCAACTCCCTTTATGTTACAACTTTGTGCAGTTTTTCTCCATTTAAATAACACTGTTCTTTTGCACTCTCTTCCAAAATTAACTTCGCATTTTCGCACATTATACTTCATGAGCCAACTTATGCCCATTTGTTTAAACTAACTGTAAACTACTTCCTCTCACAACTTGCCTTTCCACTGATTTTTGTGTCATTTGTAAATTTGGCTTCAGTACATTCACTTCCTTCCTCCAAGCTATTAACATATATTATAAACAGTTACAGTCTCAACGCTGGTCCCTGTGGAAACCCACTTTACAGGTTGCAAACCTAATGACAGTAATTTCGTTGTTTAATTGGCTCAGTAGTAGACCTCTTTTTTCCTGCACCCTTTCTATCTCTATCATCTTGAGATATGCTTGAAGAGTATATGGAAGAGCCAGGGACTGTGTGTCTAATCTCCCGCCCGTCAAAAATCCTGATGAATTGGGACAGTCCTGCAGTGATGTAGATCTGTAACTGAATTTGGTTAAAGTGATGTCATCATGCTCCTCCAACAAGAATTTGACAGTGTGGATCCATCTTTTGGCCTTCCCATTAGCCTACCAGTACCTGAGCGTCAGCACCATTTTGTTTTCCCATATGGTCCATTGGAACCTCTTTGCAAAGCCGAAGTTTGAATCAAAGACTTCAATCACTACTCCTAATTAGCTGATTATGCAATCTATCTACAAGCATGTAGCTAGTAATCTCATATACTTCAGATCTTACTGCGTGCCATTAATGTGCATTGGAACCATTTTGCAGATTCATACTCAATCTGTTTGACCACTTTACGATTGAACTTTAGCAGGTCTACCAGTATCTGTGGAGTGAAAGCAGAGCTAATGCTTCAAGTCCAATGACCCTTCTTCAGAACTGAAGTTCTGCAACTCAGTTCTAAAGAAGGCTCATTGGACTCGAAGTGTTAACTCTACCTTTTGTCCATGGATGCTGCCAGACTTGCTGAGCTTCTATAGTGTTTTTTTTGTTTTCGTTTCATATTCTCAGTATCCACAGTGCTTTGTTTTATTTTATGACTACACCTTCTTTGGCCATCAAGTCCTGGAAAGGGAATGAGCCCAATGCTTCAGTGGCGGGGATGCTATCCTGCTGCAGAAGGCCCCCTTTCTCTTAAATTATCCTGCAATTGTTACCATCTTACATACGAAGAATGGTCTCATGGTCAGAATACTAGAGAATGCTCAGGCTCAGTCTTGTAGAGCCAATCATCCTTTGTAATGGAAGTCCTCACAGGCATCAGTGACAGAAAAAGTAGAGAAGTTTTAAAAACATTCTAGTTTCCTCTAGATAATTGTTGAAGTTTTTTTTTACATTATTCTGCTATCCATGTCAGTCAAGGCTTAGTTGTAGATCTCTTGACTTGGAATCAGAAGGTCCTGAGTTGAAGCCTCACTCCAGGATTCGATGACAAATATTGAGGCTGAAACTCCAATGCAGTACTGAGGAATGGTCCATTTATACCTTTTAGAGTAGGCAGATAAAATTCCAAGAAAAAGTTTCAATCAAGAGCAGGAGTGTGGTTCATGGTGTCCTGACCAATGCTTATCCCTCAATTAGCATCACTAAACATGATGATCACATGCTTTTTGTAGGGGTTTGCTTTCTGTAAATAATATTGCCACATTACGTTACAAGAGTACATATACTTCCAAAAGTACTTCATTGGCTGTAATGTTCTTTGGGGGCTTGCTGTTATCATGGAAAACACAACATAAATGCAAGTCTTCCCTTTGTTCCTTCTCATGATGATTTTGATTAGAAGAGTCAAAAACATTTTTACAATATTATTAAAGACTCTTTCCCATACATTTACTATTAATTATCTAGAATTAAAGGAAAAGATGTTCAAAATGTAACCAAAAAGAAAGGAGTGGAGGCCATGGAAAATAAATTAATTCCTTTTGAATAGTTGCAGCTAGAACTCAACCAAGGATTGACAAGGCCACTTGGGTAGAAAAGAAAGTAAGTAAATAAATATGTGTGGTACTAAATTTTAAATAGGCATTTTCCCTCTTTAATGCTGCTGCATTTCTTATTTTGGAGATTGGTAGCTCAATGGCTAATTCCTACGAGCCTGTCAATAAAAATCCATATAAAAGTTGAAGATATTGATACAGAGTTCAAAACCGAAAGAACTGCTGATGTTGTAAATCAGGAACGAAAACAGAAGTTGCTGTAAAAGCTCAGCAGGTCTGGCAGCATCTGTGAAGAAAAATCAGAGTTAACCCTTCCACCAGACCCAAAACATTAACTCTGATTTTTCTTCACAGACGCTGTCAGACCTGCTGAGCTTCTCCAGCAATTTCTGTTCATCTTCTGGTCAGTTGCCGCTCGCAAAATTGTAGAATGAACATGTAAGTGAACAGGTAGAAAAACCAGTGAGGAAGGCCAGTGACTTCCAGATCAGCACTTCTTAGGAGGTACTTAATTTGAAAACAAAAAGTGCTGGAGACCATTGCAGGTCAGGCAATGTCCACAGAGAGACAGCATGCTACTGTTTCAAGTCTAGATGACTCTTCAGGTGGGCTGACATGAAGTGTGGCGGAGGTAGCATTTATGCAAAGGTGGGGGCAGGGGGTGTGTAGAGTGCTTGGGGAGTAAGGCCTGCTGATAATGCAGATTAAGTGATCAGAATGTGAGAATGGCAGAACAATAGTGTGTCTAACTGCCAAACTGGAAAAAACAGAGAGATCCACTGGAGTGGGCGAAAGGGGAAACAGGACATGGTGACAGAGAATGCAACAAGTAAAGCTAATAAAAAATGGGAGTGAGTTCACAATCTGAAGGTGTTGAACTTGATATTAAGTCCAGAAGGTTGTAAAGTGCCTAGTCTGAGGAAGAGATGTTGTCCCTCCAGTTTGAGCTGTGATTCGCTGGAGCATTGCAGCATGCCAGGGACAGACAAGTGGGCATGTGAGCAGGACGCTGTGTTAAAATGACTGACTATGGGAAAGTCGGGGTCCTGCTTGTGCACGGACCAGAGATGTTCTGCAAACTCCAGTGGGACTATCTGTTCTTTCCAGTTTGGCAGTTAGACACACCATATTCTGCCATTCTCACATTCTGATCGCTTAATCCATACCGTCAGCAGCCTTTCTCCTCAGCATTCAAAACCCCACTATTGCAAAAATGTTGTTCCCTTCACACTTCACTTCAGCTCTGATGAAGAGTTGGTTAGAACTGAAATGTTAGCTTGCTCTCTCTCCATGGATGCTGCCTGACCTGAGGATTTCCAGCATTTTTTGTCTTCAGTATAAGATTCCAGCACCTGCAGTAATTTGTTCCTACATAAGTTGAAGATCAACCCTTAATTTCTTAAGTTTAATGAATAAAGATATATAACCATGAAATAACATTCTCATGAAGAATCAGAATGCAATAAATTTAACATACTTCACAGTGCAGGAAGTTTAAACATGCAAAAAAAACCTGTAGACCTCTGTATTCGATGAAGTGAACTGCCCAATATAAATCAGACAACTTTACCTTGAGTTTCATAGCTTTCAACTTACGTGCACTTTGTAGTATTTGCTTCAAAATAACAAATTCCTTCATTCCTACATTTGCAGGCAGGTGGCATTGGTTGCTCCAGCTCAATGGCTGTAGACACAAATAAAACAAGAAAGATTGCAAACTTCAGTGAGAGAACTGCCATATGGATGCAAATGAAACTTGTTGCTCAGTGAGAGGCCTGAAAGGTGAAGTGATAACTTTCTGTGTACATATTTTTCAACTAGAATGAGTTACAGTGGGAGGAAATATAAATACTTGTGAGTGTTATGTTTTCAATAGCTTCATGGAGTCAAACAGTACAGAAGAGACACTTTGTCTGAGTCTGTGCTGACCTATCACACTACTCTCACTTTTCCAGCACGTGGCTCATTGCCTTGAATGTAATGATACTTCAAAGTGCTCATCCACATAATTTTCAAAAGGTCCTAAGGTTTCCTGCCTCTAATGACCTCCCAGGCAGTTCATTTCAGATTCTCACCACCCTCCAGGTGAAATCATTTTTCCTGAATCCCCACTAAACCGCCTGCCCTTCACCCTAAAACAATATCACCTCATTATTGATTCTTCAACTAAGGGGAACAGTAGCTTTCTATTCAGCCTGTCCAGACCCCACAAAATCATATACACCTCCATCAGGTCCTCCCCTTAACTTTCTCAGCTCAAAAAGAAAACTCCAGCCGATCCAGCTTCATTCAGAGCTAAAATGCTCCAATCCAGGAAACATTCTGGTGAATCTCCTCTATGCCCCTCCAATGCAATCACATCTTTCTTATAGTGTGACAACTAGAATTGAACACACTATTCCATCTGTGGTCTAACTAAAGTTTTGTATAACTCCAACGTAACTTCCCTGCTTTTATAATCTTTGCCACAATTGATAAAGTCGAACATCCTGTATGGCTTGGTAACCACTCTATTAACCTGTCCTGGTGCTTTCAGGAATCTGTGGATAGGTATCCAAAATGCTTCTGTGCCTCTGAGCTTCCTAGTGTCCCGCATTCGCTGAGTACTCCCTTGTCTTGTTATTTCTTGCAAAATGATCACCTTGCACTTTTCAGGGCTAATTTCCATCTGCCACTGATCTGCCCATCTCACCAATTTGTCCATATCCTCCTGTAACCTTAGACGTTCTTTCTCACAGTCAACCACTCAGCCAACCTTCTTGTCATCTGGAAACTTATCATTCACCCCCAGCTATATTGTCGAGATATGCTATGAATAATAAGTGACGCAGTACTGATCCCTGTTGTACATCACTGGACACCAACCTAAAACACATAAACAATCTTGGAGCAGCACCTTTGCTCTCCTACCATGAAGCCAATTTTGGATTCATCTTGCCACGTTGACTTGGATCCCATGTGCTTTTACCTTCTTTATCAGACTCCCATGTGGGACCTTCTCAAAGGCTTTGCTGAAATTCAAATAAACCATATCAACTGCATCTACACCTGATCACCTCCACGAAAAAATCAATCAAATTTGTTCGGCATGACTTCCCTCTGACAAAACCATGCTGACTATCCCTGATGAAACCTTACCTCTCTAAGTGAAGTTTAATTCTCTCCTTCAGAATTTACTCCAATAGTTTCCTATCATTGATGTGGGAGTAACTGGTCTGACTGGTTTATCTCTACCACCCTTTTGAAAAGTTGAACCACATTTGCTGTCCTCCAGTCCTCTGGCACTTACCCTGGAGCCAGAGAGGAATTAAAAAATTGTGTCAGAGGCTCTGTAATTTCCTCCCTCACTTCCCAAAGCAGCCTGGGATATAACCAGGCCAAGCAGCATCATAGTTTCGGGCCTAGACCCTTCATCAGAAATGGGGGAGGGGAAGGGGGTTCTGAAATAAATAGGGAGAGAGGGGAAGGTGGATAGAAGATGGATAGAGGAGAAGATAGGTGGAGAGGAGACAGACAGGTCAAAGAAGTGGGGATGGAGCTAGTAAAGGTGAGTGTAGGTGGGGAGTTAGGGAGGGGATAGGTCAGTCCAGGGAGGACGGACAGGTCAAGGGGGCGGGATGAGGTTAGTAGGTAGGAGATGGGGGTGCGGCTTGACGTGGGAGGAGGGGATAGGTGGGAGGAAGAACAGGTTAGGGAGGCGGGGACGAGCTGGGCTGGTTTTGGGATGCGGTAGGGGGAGGGGAGATTTTGAAGCTTGTGAAATCCGCATTGATACCATTGGGCTGCAGGGTTCCCAAGCGGAATATGAGTTGCTGTTCCTGCAACCTTTGGGTGGCATCGTTGTGGCACTGCAGGAGGCCCAGGATGGACATGTCGTTTGAGCAATGGGAGGGGGAGTTGAAATGGTTCACGACTGGGAGGTGCAGTTGTTTATTGCGAACCGAGCGTAGGTGTTCTGCAAAGCGGTTCCCGAGCCTCCGCTTGGTTTCCCCGATGTAGAGGCGGCCACAACGGGTACAGTGGATGCAGTATACCACATTAGCAGATGTGCAGGTGAACATCTGCTTGATGTGGAAAGTCTTCTTGGGGCCTGGGATGGGGGTGAGGGAGGAGGTGTGGGGGCAGGTGTAGCACTTCCTGTGGTTGCAGGGAAAAGTGCCGGGTGTGGTGGGGCTGGAGGGGAGTGTGGAGCGGACAAGGGAGTCACGGAGAGAGTGGTGCCTCCAGAAAGCAGATAAGGGTGGGGAGGGAAAAGACTCACTGTTCTGTTGTAGATTTTCCCACAAGGAGTTGTTCTCAGTCTACTTTGGCCAGGCCCTGCCATATTTTAACAAAATCTGACTTCCTCCAAATCAAAGTTCTTTTTTGCAAGCCATCTCTTTTCTTAACAAACTAAAATCATAACGTGTTGGGGTTGCTATCACTAAAATGCTCCCCCATTGCCCATTTGACCACCAATCTGGCTTCATTCCCTGGAATGTTGGACAATCTATGTGTTGACATTAAGAGATTTCCCAAAATTCAAGGAATCCATCCCTTCTAAACCCCTCCATATTCCCTTGAGTATGATTAGAAAGAAAACAACTTCACCAAAACATTAAATATGAATACATCATCAATTACTACTGTTTGACCACTTAAGAACAAATAATTTCAAAATAGACAACAGAAAAGGTGGCCATTTAGATTGCTTCATATAAAAGAATACAGAATTGCATTTCTGCTGGGATTTCTCTAATCATTTCTGGATTCATCTGCCTGCCTGGCCTGATATTTTAAAGAATTATGTGCTTATCCTTGGTCCTCCATCTCTTCACATCCTCCAGCACTTTTCAATTTAATTTTGTAAGTTAATCATTCCTCCAGAATACTTATGCATTCAGACTTGAATAACAGGTCCCAATCCACTTAGTCATAGAGTCATAGAGTGTTACATAGCAGAAACAGACCCTTCGGTCCAACTCGTCCATGCTGACCATGTGTCCAAAACTAAACTTGTCCTATTTGTCATCATTTGGCCCATATCCCTCTAAACTTGTGCTATGCCTGTTCTTGTCCAAATGTCATAGAGTCATAGGGATATTACACACAGAAACTGACCCTTCAGTCCAACTTGTCCATGCCGACCAGATATTCTAAATAAATCTAGTCCCATTTGCCAGCATTTGGCCCATATCCCTCTAAACCCTTCCTTTTCAAATACCCATCCAGATGACTTTTAAATGTTGTAATTGTACCAGCCTCCACCACTTCTTCTAGTAGCTCATTCCATACACGCTCCATCCTCTGCGTGAAAAAGTTGTCCCTTAGGTCCCTTTTAAATCTTTACCCCTCTCAGCTTAAACCTGTGCCTTCTAGTTTTTGACTTACCCACACTGGGGAAAAGATCTTGTCTATTTACCCTATCCATGCCCCTCATGATTTTATAAACCTCTATGTGGTCACCCCTCAGCCTCCAACGCTCCAGGGAAAATAGCCCCCCCAGTCTATTCAGCCTCTTCCTATAGCTCAAATCTTCGAACCCTGGCAACATCCTTGTAAATCTTTTCTGAACTCTTTCAAGTTTCACAACATCCTTCCTATAGCAGGGAGACCAGAATTGCATGCCGTATTCCAACAGTGGCCTAACCAATGTACTGGACACTGCCGCAATATGACCTCCCAACTCCTATACTCAATGCACTGACCAATAAAGGCAAGCATGCCAAACGCCTCCATCACTATCCTATCTACCTGTGACCCACTTTCGAGGACCTACGAATCTATACTCCAAGGTCTCATTGTTTAGCAACACTCCTCAGGACCTTACCATTAAGTGTATAAGTGCTGCCCTGATTTGCCTTTCGAAAATGCAGCACCTCACATTTATCTAAATTAAACTCCATCTGCCACTCCTCGACCCATTGGCCCATCTGATCAAGATCCTGTTGTACTCTTGAGGTAGCTTTCTTCACTGTCCACTACAACTTCAATTTTGGTGTCGTCTGCAAACTTACTAACCATACCTCCTATGTTCACATCCAAATCAGTTATAAAAATGGCAAAAAAGCAGTGGACCCAGGACTAGTCCTTGTGGCACACCTCTGTTCACAGGCCTCCAGTCTGAAAAGCAACCCTCCACCACCACTGTCTTCTACCTTTTGAGCCAGTTCTGAATCCAAATAGCTAGTTCTCTCTCTATTCTAACCAGTCTAACATGAGGAACCTTGTCGAATGCCTTACTAAAGTCCACTTAGATCACATCCACCACTCTGCCCTCATCCTCTTTGTTACTTCTTCAAAAAACTCAAGTTCATGAGACACAGTTTCCCATCTACAATGCTCCTAATCAGTCCTTGCCTTTCCAAATACATGTAAATTGTGTCCCTCAGGATTCCCTCCAACAATTTGTCCACCACTGAAATCAGGCTCACTGGTCTATAGTTCCCTGGCATTTCCTTACCACCTTTCTTAAATAGTAGCAACCCATTAGCCAACCTTCAGTCTTCTGGCACTTCGCCAGTGGCTATTGATGGTACAAATATTTCAGTAAGGGGCCAAGCAATCACTTCCCTAGCTTCCCATAGCGTTCCAGGGTCCCAGGGATTTATCCACCTTTATATGTTTTCAGACATCCAGCACCTGTAGCACTGTAGTATCGACATTTTTCAAGATGTTGCTGTGGATTTCCCCACATTCTCTATCTTCCATATTCTTCTCCACGGTAAACACTGATGCAAAATACTTATTTAGTATCTTCCCCATCTCCCGCAGTTTCACATATAGGTGGCCTTGCCGATCTTTAAGGGGCCCTATTCTCTCCCTAATTGCACTTTTGTCCTTAATGTATTTGTAGAATCCCTTTGGATTCTCCCTAACCCTATTTGCCAACGTTACCTCATGTCCCCTTTTTGCCTTCCTGATTTCCCTCTGAAGTATACTCCTACTGCTTTTGTACTCATCCAGGGAATCACTAGATTTCTGCTGTCTATACCTGACATACACTTCCTTCTTTTTCTTGATCAAAATCTCAATTTTTCTAGTCATCCAGCATTCTTTACACCTACCAGCCTTGCCCTTCACCCTAACAGGAACATATTGTCTCTGGACTCACGTTATCTCATGTTTGAATGATTCCCATTTTCCAGCTGTCCCTTTACTTACGAACGTCCGCCCCCAAACTACTTCTGAAAGCCCTTGCTGAATATCGTTAAAATTGGCGTTCCTCCAATTTAGAACTTTAATTTTTAGATCCGGTCTATCCTTTCCATCACAATTTTAAAACTAATAGAATTATAGTCACTGGCCCCAAAACACTCCCACACTGGCACCTAAATCAGCCGCCTGCCTTATTTCCCAAGAGTAGGTCAAGTTTCGCATCTTCTTTAGAAGGTACATCTCCATGCTGAATCTTCTTGAATCACTTTGTTATATGAATCATCAACATCATCTTCATCAGTATTCACATCATCATCGATAGATAGTTCCAAAAGTTATCATTGTCTTTGTCTTCAAGATCATTGGATATCCCACAATTCTTGAATGCTTCGGTAACGATCTTCATTCTGTTTCATTCCGGACTTCTACAGCCTATTCTCATTGGATTGCTGATATTGGAGCCCATACGCTTTGTACCTTGGCGACTGTCTTCTCTCCTTTGATCATGTCATTTCACCATTTTCTCAAGCTGTTCATGAATGGTTCGTTCAGTCCTTGCCTTTCCAAACACATGTAAAATCGTGTACCTCAGGATTCCCTCCGACAATTTGTCCACCACTGAAATCAGGCTCACTGGTCTATAGTTCCCTGGCATTTCCTTACCACCTTTCTTAAATAGTAGCAACCCGTTAGCCAACCTTTAGTCTTCCGGCACTTCGCCAGTGGCTATTGATGGTAAAAATATCTCAGTAAGGGGCCAAGCAATCACTTCCCTAGCTTCAGTGTTTGAACAAGGTTTGTTAGATCACCAGGAATCCCTGTGAGATCACTCCTTTGTGATCTAACTTTAGCAACAGCATCAGCAATAAAGGAGTGATGTGAAAATATCCAAAATAAGAAGACATATTTCTTTATACAATGTCTTGATCGGAAGCCTCAATCTTTCCTCAGTCGTATTTTCAAGTCAGCTTCATCCATCCATCCCTCCATTTTCTAGTTTGAAGAAAATCTTTGTTCATTGTTTGATTGGCTGGCTTGTCAAAATTCATAAGGGTTCCACCCACGTTCCCAATATAACAGAGTCTGCATCCATTCTTTTGTCAATACTTGATTATAAATCATTGAAATGTGATAAGCCTGTCATCAATTTTTTTTGGAAAATATTGTGAAATCTTAAGATTTTTATTGCATTACAAATTGTTTATCTTCAGAATCCTGGAGCACCAATCAGGGCTGACTTTGAAATACATGATTCCTAATTTTCTTGTTCATTTCAGTGTGAAAATTCAGATAAATCATCAAGGAACCAAGAGTCAATTCTGATGATTTTTATTAATATATTTTACAACTTTACCTTCCAATGGCAGCTAAGTTAGGTTTTCCTCTCTTTGCACATTGATTTTTAGGCACCTATCCAAGCTGCATAGAGGTTCCTTCAATTTCTTAACGTCCTTCTCTGATAACTTTAATTCTCTAACTGCTGTACAATTATTTGTCTGTTCTCTGATTTCAACAACTTTAGGGTTGAACTGGACTGCGTATCTAACGCTCCTGGGTAGTAAATGCAAAGAGTTGGGAATTTTGGTCCAAAGCTCAGGTGTTGAATTTGACAAGATTGATCATGAATCAAGTATATATGGCATATATTTTCAGTGCATCGATGAGATCAGAAATAAATAACATTTGTGTAAATGGAATAAATATTTAACTTAAGATTTTGCATTTTTGATATAGTTGTTTGCTTTAAGTAACACTGTCAGATCTAAATTACTTTCAACATAATATTCCTCAGCAAATTCAGAGGTGAGCTACAGGATAATTCGGAGTACAGAAATATAAATTGTACATAAAAATTGAGGAAAGTTGGATTTTAAAGGGAAAAGAATGATGAGTTGGCTTGGCTTCCTCTACATCGGGGAAACCAAGCGGAGGCTCGGGGACCGCTTTGCAGAACACCTACGCTCGGTTCGCAGTAAACAACTGCACCTCCCAGTTGCGAACCATTTCAACTCCCCCTCCCATTCCTCAGACGACATGTCCATCCTGGCCCTCCTGCAGTGCCACAACGATGCCACCCGAAGGTTGCAGGAACAGCAACTCATATTCCGCTTGGGAACCCAATGGTATCAATGTGGATTTCATAAGCTTCAAAATCTCCCCTCCCGCTACCGCATCCCAAAACCAGTCCAGCTCGTCCCCGCCTCCCTAACCTGTTCTTCCTCCCACCTATCCCCTCCTCCCACCTCAAGCCGCACCCCCATCTCCTACCTACTAACCTCATCCCGCCCCCTTGACCTGTCCGTCCTCCCTGGACTGACCTATCCCCTCCCTAACTCCCCACCTACACTCACCTTTACTGGCTCCATCCCCGCTTCTTCGACCTGTTTGTTTCCTCTCCACCTATCCTCTCCTCTATCCATCTTCTATCCGCCTCCCACTCTCTCCCTATTTATTTCAGAACCCCCTTCCCCTCCCCCATTTCTGATGAAGGGTCTAGGCCCGAAACGTCAGCGTTTCTGCTCCTATGATGCTGCTTGGCCTGCTGTGTTCATCCAGCCCTGCACCTTGTTGTCTCATGAGTTGACTTATTCACACTTTTCAACAATATAAGTTATATGCAAATTTTTAATTACAATGAACGGTTTCCAATACTAGGAGCTAAAGGTTAAAAGTTGGCAAAAGGAAAACAACGGAAAGAAAAGGCAGAACATTTTACATTACCATAACGTTATCCTATCTTTTATCACCTCACCTAAACAAACAGTTTAATTTATGTCAAATGTTACATATATGCATTCACAAATTGATTTTCAATCCCATATCTCAAAATAAAATCAGCAATCAGGTTGGTTTGGTTGATTCATAAGAAAAAGAGGTTTGTACAGTCCAATGGTTTTTATCAGCTGTAATGTTTTAAATAAGCTGATTGATGAAATGCATATACCTGCATCACACTCTATAAGGCTGCCATCTCGAAATTGACTGCCTTGAGGACAAGCACAGGTGTACCCTCCTGGTCTTAGCAAACACAGATGACTGCAGACATCTTTGCAAGGATTAGGCACTGAAACAAGGAAGAATATTTAAAAATTCCAAAAAGTTTACAAAATAAGTGCAAAATAAAATAGGTGTATATAAATTAAGAGCAAGGTGACCCATAATAACAGCCAAGAACACACGACATGTGTGTATGCATTGACCACAGCCCCTTGGAAGTCGTGGTGCTCTGTATCAGAAGGCTGGCTGTGACTGAGGCTGTAATGTATCTGGCATTACTAAGAACATTTTGAATGTTATTGTGTTCAGGCCTAATGCCGTGTATGGAAATCCACATCTCCCTCATCCTGCTATCTCATGTGAAGTGCAAGTTGCAGATGGTGTCACTGTAGACCTCTTACTTTCCACTCTTTCCTCACCCCAGACTTTCTTTTCTGATTTTCTGCTTTCAGGTACCCATAAACTGTCACCTGGATAGCCACTATAGCCTCAGAATGAAGGGCAAAGCCTCCTGCAAGCCTTTAATGAAAAACAATGATTAACCTGACAATTGTAAGCCACCAGCTCATTACTGGCATTACACAAACTTTAGCATGTACTAAGAGTCAGGACCAGCATCTGATGAGTCACCAAACATGTGTGAAGCAGCAGTGCTAAACACTATGCCACCCCCACATTGGCAAACTACCCTGATGGAAAGTACAAGATGGAAAATTTCAACAAAATATGCTTTTTCAGCAAATTCAAGTTGTATAATGCCAAACAACTATATAAATACATGTACTTTTAGATAATACCTAGTCACAGATCACGGATTGTTACCTGAGTGATTGTAACGATGTTCCTGATATATTCGAACTTGTGTTAGCCATGGGTTTACAGTCATCACTTTTATCTTATGACTGTTTCCAAATTTGTCTTGTTTCCAGACTTCACCATTCTCCTTCGATGTCCAGTACAAGTGATTTTCAAAAACATCAAGGCTGTAAGGATTGCCTAGGTCTGATAAAATAATTCAAGGACAAAGTGTTAATTTAGAAAAACTTCTTTTAAAAGAACACGTAACACTGAAAAGTCATCCAAATTTTTCTTCAATTGTACGTTAAAGTGTTAAAGAATAAAGTTTCCACTTTCCTGTTAATGAAAGGATGTTGCACTTTACCTTGTTATACCCTGTCATGTTCACAAGTGTTGGAGGGATTGTGAGTGTTAAGGAGTTGGGGGGAGGCAGGGTTCCAGTCCTTACGGCTTCATGAGCATATTTTTTTCAAACTTGTCTTTCAGTGATGGTTGCTGCTGGATACATTGCTGAAAAATCTCAGCTCATCTCATTAAACTTTGTACAGAGAAGCTAAAACATGTGTTAGGCCTTTTATTTACTTATATGCAGATCATAAGATATAAATCAGAATTAGGGCATTTGGCCCATCAAGTCTGCATCACCATTTGATCATGGCTTATGTTTCTCAACCTCATACTCGTGCTTTCTCCCTTTGATCCCCTTACTAATCAAAAACCCTATCTATCTCTGTCTTAACTACACCCAGTGACTGGCCCCCATTGCCTTGTGTGGCAGTGAATTCCTAAGATTCACCATCCTCTGGCTGAGTAAGTTCCTCCTCATTTTAGTTCCAAATGGTCATCCCTTCACTCTGACGCTGAACCCTCTGGTCCTCGTCTCTCCTAATGATAGAAATATTTTCTCCATGGCCACTCTATCCAGGCCTCTCAGTATTCTTTAAGTTTTATTGAGAACACCTGCCATCCTTCTAAACTCCAACATGTACAGACACAGAGTCCTCAACCGCTCCTCATTACAGGCACCAGGTTCTTGCTGTGTAAGATGACTGTTATGAAAAATAGGAAAAATTATTCATTATAGTATAGGATTAGCCATTCTTCAGATCATTTGAGATCAAATCCCAAAACTGAGCATTTTTGTCTTGTTTGCCCATTTTTAGGGCAGCCCGGTGACTCAGTTGTTAGCGCTGCTGCCTCACAGCACCAGGGACCTGGGTTCGATTCCACCCTTGGGTGACAGTCGGTGCAGAATTTGCACATTCTCCTGTGTCTGTGTGGGTTTCCTCTGGGTGCTCCACTTTCCTCCCACTGTACAAAGGTCAGGTGGATTGGCAATGCTAAAATTGTCCATAGTGTCCAGGGATGTGTAGGTTAGGTGGATTAGCCATGGGAAATGCAAGGTTATGGGGATAGGGAGGGGTAGTTGTGTGTGGAATGCTCTTTGGAGGATTGGTGTGGACTCGATGGGCCAAATGGCCTACTTCCACATTGTAGGGATTCTATGATTTTTAAGTCTTTACCATCCAATTTGAAACTGTTAGTAGTAAAAGGCAGTTACCTCTCTCTCTGCAGGTGATGCTACCATTAACACATCGGGCTTTTATTGTGAGGAGAGAGGAGACCATCATTATATATTCAGGACTGATTTGGAGTCCCAATGCAGGATGGCAAGAAAGTTAATTGTACAATAAAGGACTAAATTTAATTTGGGCCACATGATGGAAATTGAGTGGCCATTTAAACTGTGGCCTTCTGCTGGGTGGCCTAAATGTCAGCATTTTGTGAAATGTTTGCTGGGTACAAGCAAGGCTTGCAAGACCTCATCAAAACTGTGGGATCATTCGACATTTACAAGTCAATGCTTAGGTTAGTCCACCATATTTCACTGTACCAGCACAAATAGAAAGTAAACAATTTATTGAGCTACCAGCTGTTCCAGTTATCTGCCTCAGTAGGGTAAGCAAAGAATCAGGTACAACAGTTACTTATTAGTGGGCAGTTACTATAAATAAACAGAAAAACAATAAATTTAACTCTCTTTAAAACAGCTTAGCGTTATTTTATAAAAGCAAAATACTGCAGATGATGGAAATCTAGAATAGAAACTGAGCAGGTTTGGCAGCATTTGTAGAGACAGACTATGTTATATTTAAAATATCGAGAGGTATTTTAAGATGATCATCCCCACGAAATATGAACACAAATTATCGGTTTTTAAAATATCAATACTTTCAGTGTTTTCTAAAAGAGACTTGCTAGACTTGAAATAGCTGTTATCAACCCTAGAAAGTGCACGTTTACCAAGGTCTTTAAATTGCAGAAACTTCTGGTGGACAAAGCTAATGCATCATTCTTGTGCATTTTCACAGCTGTAATTGCAGGGGCACTGCAACCACAATGAGGATACAGACCATCAGTCTCTGAACCCGAACTTATGTCAGAGGAAAAGTTATTAAATCATGTCACGCCTGAAGTGATGCTGACAGTGCTATTGTTATCTCCTTAGTCACACAATAGTTTGACCAGAGGCATTGAAATTACAGCATTAGTTTGAGCTGCCCTAACCAGGAACCCTGTCACATGACGGAAACTTTTGAACTGTTTTGATCATACAACTCCGAACTCTTTTTGCAGGCTGCTTTTATCAGAACAGATAACATTCAACGCTAGACTTAGATAAATTGAGCCTCCAGTTTGACCACTCTTGAAATCTAATTTCCAAGAAGAAATCCCCTATTTTCCTGGAAATTGAGCTATTTCCCAGACCACAAAAAGCATATTGCTACACTTTCAATAGCTTCCACCAACATCTACGCTCCTATGAAAAGGAACTTTACCAGAACAGCCAAATGAAAGAACCTTCACTGGACACTGATTTACTGAACCCTATTTCATGTGAATTATTGCCTGTATCTTTTTCCTAATTTACCTATAATTATAATTTTTTGCCTTTTCTCTTTCTTCCTTATATAATTACTTGGGTGTTGTGTTGCAAAAAAATGTATTCCCCGGATTTGAATCTTTGAAGAAATTATCATTTTAATCCTAAAGAGAATTTGTTGTGGGTCATGTAAGAATTTGACTTCATAAACAAACTTTTGGGGGAACATAACACTGTGTATTTCGAAAAGGAAAAAGGAATGGGATAAAATTAACAACAATCTCTGCTTAAAGGAAAGGAGAACAAAAACGCAATAAAATAATTTGAATTCACCTCTCCTTTAGTCAATGATATGATAATGATTTTGAACTGTCCTGCCAGACTTCCTGCAGAATTCAAATGAATTTGTTGTAGAAAATGACCTTGAAGTATACAAAATTCTAAAAGCTACAATTTTACTGTGGTCTGTAATATTCCAGTCATGTAGCACCAAGCAGAGTTGCCCTTGGCTTAATTCCAGTTGGGCAGCAGAGTGATCTGTTCTGAAAAGATTATGTTCTTCTTCTGATATTTACAGAAGTTTTCTTTTGAACCTGACTTCCTTTCCTGAACCTCTATGCAGAAGCAGAGAAAGACAAGGTAGACATTCAACAACTCAGATATACCCATGGCTCTCTGGAAACTTCTTCCCCTCCCCTTCCCCCTGACTCCACCCCCTCTCCCAATTCCACCTCTTGTCGGGTATTCCCCATTTCACATAACCTTCTGCTCTCCAATAATGAACGTTCTGTACTCAGCAAAGGTCTCAGCTTTATCGCTCTGCGTTCCCGCCTTAATGAATTTTGAACTCTTCTTCCACTGTCTTTTCCTCCATGCCCATTTCTTAGGATAAGAGTCCTCTCCCCATCCCACAGACCCCTTCGCTCAGTTCCAACACTCTCCTCCCACCTGGACTCCTCTCTCTGGCCTTTTACCTGTACTCGATCCATTCATTGAGAACTGTCTACCTGACATTGATTGCCTTAATTTCTCTGCCTCCTCACCCAATCCAACCTATTTCCCTCTGAACTGACTGCACTCTGTGCGCTTAGATCTAACCCTGACTTTGTTATTAAGCCTGCCGAAAAGGGTGCTGCTGTTGTAGACTGGCGTACTGACCTCTACATGGCAGATGCTGAGTGCTAGCTCTCAGATCCCTCCTCCTATCTTCCCCTTGACCAGACCCCACCATGACACATCAGGCCATTTTATCAACTATGGTTGCTGACCTCATTTCATTTGATAATGTACCCCGCTCCAATACCTCTAATCCGATAGCTCCCCCAGCCCTGCACAGCTCACTTCCACCTCCTTCCAAAAATCCACAACCAGGACTGTCTGGGCAGACCCATTGTTTCAGCCTGCTCCTGCCCCACAGAACTCATCTTTTCCTACCTAGACTCAGTCTTCTCTCCCCTGGCCCAATCCCTGCCCACGTACATCTGTGATTTCTCTGGCACTTTATGCTAATTTAAAAATTTTCAGTTTGTGGGCTCCAGTGGCCTCCTCTTTACCATGGATATGCAATCCCTTTACACGTCCATCCCCCACCGGGATGGACTCAGGCCTCTCTGCTTCTTCCTGGAGCAAAGGCCTGAATCGTCCCCACCCACCTGCACACTCCTTCGCTTGGCCAAGTTTGTCCTCGCCCTTAACAACTTCACTTTTAACTCTTCTCATTTTCTTCAGGCAAGAAGGGTGGCCATGGGTACCCGCATGGGCCTTATACCGGTCTCTTCGTGGGGTATGCGAAACATTCTTTGTTCCAGTGCTATTCTGGCCTCCAACCACAACTTTTCCTCCAAAATATTGATGATATCATCGTTACTGCTTCCCTCTCTCATCCGGAATTGGAAAAGTTCATCAATTTTTCTTTCAATTTCCACCCTACCCTCACTTTCACCTGGTTTATCCCCAATGCCTCCCTTCCCTTCCTCGACATCTCTGTTTCCATTTCTGGGGATAGACCAGTCACTATTATCCACTATAAACCCACCGACTCCCACAGCTACTTGGATTATACATCCTCACATCCCACTTCCTGTAAAGGCTCCATCCCATTCTCTCAGTTCCTCTGTCTCCATCACGTATGTTCAGATGAGGCCAACTTCGACAAAGGATCCCCTGAAATTTCCACCTTCTTCCTCAACTGAGGATTCCCCAGCACCATTGTTGACAGGACTCTCAACCGACTCCAACCTATCTCCTGCAGTTCTGCCCTCAACCCCTCTCTTCCCTCCTACAACAGCAATAGGGTTCCCCTTATCCTCACCTACCATCCTACCAGCATCCACATCCAGAAGATCATTGGACGCCATTTCTGCCACCTCTGGGGTGATGCCACCAGCAGGCACATATTCCCCTCCCCTCCCTTGACTGCCTTCCTAAGAGACCGTTCCCTCCAGGACACCCTGGTCCACTCTTCTTTCACTCTGAACAACATATCTCCCACATCCCCACCCCCCCCCCCCCCCCCTGCCCACCCCTTACCCCAACCACTGCCCCACGGCACCTTCCCCTGTAACCGCCGAAGGTGTAACACCTGCCCATTTACCTCCTCGCTCCCCAGGATCCAAGGGCCCAAACCTACCTTCCAGGTGAAACAGCACTTTACCTACACTTCCCACAATCTGGTCTACTGCATTCACTGCTCACAATGTGGTTTTGTTGACATTGGAGAAACAAAGCATAGACTGGGTGATAGCTTCATAGAACATCTATGTCTGTTTGCAAAAAAGAGCCTGAGCTTCCAGTTGCCTGCCACATTACCACACCACCCTGTTCCCTGACCAACATCTCTGTCTGTGGCTTGCTGCAGTTTTCCAGCGAAGCTCAGCACAAGTTTGGAAGAACAACACCTCATTTTCCACTTGGGGATCCTGCAATCCTCTGGACTCAATATGGAGTTCAATAATTTTATGGCCTGAGCTCTCCCATGTCCTCGCTGCCCCCACCTGCCCCAAAAACACACCGGGCCTTGCTATCACACATCCATTACATACTATGTATTGTTAGTGACCATCAGTCCCCATTAATAGCTATTCACCCTCCTAGCCAGATCATTATCTATTCCTTTGTCTGTCCAACTGTGCTCTATCCCCACTATCATTTACTCCTTACCCCCTCTCCCCCATCTTACCTACTGCATATAAACTGACATTTTTCGAGCTACCATCAGTTCTGAGGAAGGGTCACTGGGCCCGAAAGGTAAACTGTGATTTTTCTTCACAGATGCTGTCAGACCTGCTGAGCTTTTCCAGTAACTTCTGTTTTTGTGCAAGGTGGACATTTGAGACTGGTTCCAGCCTGTCATTTTAAGTTTTGTGGTCTGGTACGTTAGTAGGCTTAACAGTCTACCTATGGTTTTCCTTACAACTATAGAAGGGTCCAAATTATAGTATAACATTCTTTACCAAAAAGGTTTTACTTTAAATATGCAGAAATAGCATGGCAATTCTCAAAGGAATACTGATCTGTATCAAGTGCATACCAGATCCTAAAATATGCCGAGATAATCTCAACTGAATCTGGAAAAGCATCTTGATATTTTCTGCTATATATCATAAAATAGCTAATCTAGTTGAGTCACACATAGTTTGTTGCTGTCTGAGGTTTGGAATTATAACATTATTATCAACAAGTGATGTTTTATCTACAACAAAGAACTCTGCAAAAATCTCACCTCCATTTATAACCAGCTTTCTGTCACTACCATCAAACTTCATAGACTGTATGAGATTCTCCTTGGAGTCACTCCAGTAAACTCTGTCACCATTGAGATAATCTATAGTAAGGCCAGTTGGCCAACCCAAGCCACTGTTAACTAGCACATGACGGTGCTGTCCATCCATCCAGGCATACTCTATCTTGGGATTTCTGCCCCAGTCTGTCCAGTAGAACAGCCTGAAATAATGATTAAAGAAAGCATATGTTAATGTATTTGCTGTATCCTTTGAAAAATGAAAATACATTTAAGTTTTTTTTCATTTACAGGATGAGGGCGTTGCTGGCTAGCCCAGCATTTATTGCCCATCCCTAATTGCCCAGAAGGCAGTTGAGAGTCAACCATGTTGCTGTCGTTCTGGAGTCACATGTAGGCCAGACCAGATAAGGAAGGCAGTTTCCTTCCCTAAAGGACACTAGTGAACCAGATGGGTTTTTCCTGAGAATTGACGATGGATTCATGGTCACCATTAGACTTTTAATTCCAGATTATTTTTAAATTATTGAATTCAAATTCCACCATCTGCCATAGCAGGACTCGAACCCTGGTCCCCAGAACATTATACGGGTCTCTGGATTAACCGTCCAGTGTTAATACCTCCTCCCCTTTGGCAGAGTTCTATTAGCAGAATAAGAATTTTCTATTTTGATACAGTTAGTTTTGTTCCATAATTAAAGGCATTACTTTGAAAGCAAAGTTGAACTAGTAATCCAGAAAGCAGATACTATTGTCAGATACACTTTCCATCTTCAAGGTTGCACATGTCAATGTTAGCAGCATCAGTGAAGAGTCATCAAGATGCACCTCATCGAAGTCCTAGCCTAAGTTACAGCTTAGTTCAGTTAAACAACAGCAAAAGTGCACTAACATGGTCATAGATCAGGATCCCAAGGTGAAAGAAAACTTAAAGGTTTCAATTATTTGACAAACTGAAACAAGTCAAATATTAAACTCATTTAAAAAACTGTTGTTTATACTTTGAACACTTTGACCAGTTTATATATTAAAAACACTTCCCAGGCCATTGTTGCCCAATTTCTAGCCCTTTCTCTCGGCCAATAGCCAAACATCACATTTCTGTATATCAGTTTGTGGAACAACTCCACTAGTCACTCATGGCGTATGTGCTTAGGTAGCAATATTCTGAGTTCCCGTTTGTCTTCTTATATATAACCTGCTGGTTGTTACAAACAAACGTCACAGATTTGTTGGGATAGACCCACAAAACACCACCCTCATATTTGCTGATATGTGTACTCTTGCCCCATTAGCATTTCTGATTATCACATCCTGGAAATCTGGGGGTCAGAACTGACCAACAAACTAATGTCTTCATCCTGGAGAGGGGATCAAGGCGGAATCTGTTATTATCCTTAGATAATATCCGACCAAATTCAGATACCTCCCACCCTTCTCCACCTGTGGAGATTTTTCTCAAACTCTGTTTGATCTTGGCCAAACTCCTCCCAAATTTCTCCAATTTCCATTTCGTAAGTCAAGTGTGTGTGTGACTTCACTTCAGGCTTGATATTAGTTCATTCAAAATGAGGTGAAAGGAGGTCATTGCATTGGCATCGTCAGAGATCTGGATGTTTAAGATTTAGATGACAACATGAAAAATGACCAGAATATGAAAACGATAATGCTAGCTATCTATAATACCGTATGCTGCTCTACATGACCAGGATCGATTGGCTGATTTTGGGCCACAATGGTAGCAGAGGTTTATGACAATGTTCTTCAAAGACCAGGATGGATTAGCAAAACACCAGAGTTGGGGTGCAATGGAGAAGTATGCATATATGAGTGTGTGCGTGTGCGTGAGTGAGAGGAGATCAGGCCTTCTGACTAGGTGGGAGAGTTTTTGCTGCCAGCAACTGCTGCTCCAACACATCTTAGTTGTATCGTTAACAATCACTGCCTTCTAAGTGGGTCATCTGTGTCTCTGGGTTACAGTGCTGCATAGCAAGCTTTCTTGGACAGACTATCTCTAACCTTCCCTTTCGCTTCAGAACTGCTTGTTATATCTAGCAAAATTCTGTGCACAGAAGGGCTGGCCTTATTCACGGAGTGGAGACATGAATATCTGGGAGATGAGAATGTTCGTGGCTGAATAATTTGTAACATCATGCACTGCCTTACCTCATATTCTACTGGGTTCAACTTCCCTTCAAAGTATGCCTGACGAGGTGTAAAGAGTGCTTGTGCACAAAATATGCTGTTTTCATGTTTGCCATCCTGATGGCTGCTGCTTTATATGTAGCCTATATATTTTCTAGTAGAATTTTCACAGTTTTCTTGTGGCAGGGGGCTTCGACCTCTGGTTCTGTCCAGTCTAATCCTATTAAGGGTTTGATACCTTTTATGGTCATCCAGTCATTAGAATATGGGGGGTGAATCCAGTTGAACTGAAAGGTGAGTTTCTTACGAACAAGCGACAAAGGTTCAAACCATGTTTCAGGTCAAAATGTTTTGCTGGACGACCTTTCGCAGTATCTCTTCGAGGCTGTCATTCAGCCTTTCTACAATCCCCCTGTATTAAGGATGGTAGGCAACATGTAGCCTTTGGCCAACACTCAATATATTCATCACCATCTGAATTAGCTGTGCTGTGAATTGGGTCCCTTGATTCAAATCTTTACTGAGGGGAAGACCCATCTAATGAAAACATACTGAATTACAATGTCTGCTGCAACTTTAGGGGTGTTCATTTAAATGGGGAGGGCCTCTACCCATTTTCTAATGTTCACAATGACCAGGATACATAGAAATCCCTCTTTATAGGGTGCTGGGGACCAACATAATCTAATTAAAGGATGGTCCATGGCCCTGTTATTGGCCAAGTAAACCTTAGCTCTACTTTATTGGCAAACTTGGCTGGTTTGTTCTGGGTGTAGGTTCAAAGATATAATTGTCGACATAATGTTTAAGTCTTTTCCTATTTCTGGCCACCTACACAGTACCTTAATTCTGTCAGTCATGGTTTCTATGCCTTGATGACCCTGGACATCATGGTGTTTATAAATCACTTGATTTCAGTCCTAGACTGGTACCACATGCCGTCCATCTTTCAGAATAAATCCATCCTTAGTACTTAACTTGTCCTCCCAGTTGCTATATGAGGTGGGGATTCTTTCCTCCTGTACTTGCTTTAACTCAGTGTCACTGTCCTGAGCTGTACCAGCTGTACCAGATCTTTGACCTTGGTTTGGCCCACAGCGATGGCATCTATTTGTTTTGGAATAGGACGTTGCCATAGTTCTCCTTTGTGGGTCCCCTGCTTAGCCTATCCATCTACCCTTTTGTTCCCAGTTGGGGAAGTTCAGTGGCAGGCTCTAACCTTAAAGATGCTGTTTTCGTGGCCTTGGGCAGTTTGGAGAATAAATTTGGGTGGGGTGTGGATGGTAATGGTTTTGATTTGATTTGATTTGATTTATTTGAGTCACATGCACCTTAGTACAGTGAAAAGTTTGTTTTGCAAGTGGTACAGGCAGATAATAGCAAATAAGGTCATACAGATCAGAGGGTGCTTAGACAGAGCGAGGTATACAGGTTACACTGCACAGAAGGTACGCAAAGCAAGATCAACATTATTTGATGTTAGAGAATATATTCATCAGTCTAATAATGGCAGGGAAGAAGCTGTTCTTGAACCTGTTGCTGCGTGTGTTCAAGCTTCTGTATCTTCTGCCTGATGTAAGAAATTGTAGGACAGCATTACTAGGGTGGGAGGGTCTTTGATAGAAATGTAGAAACATAGAAAATAGGTACAGGAGTAGGCCATTCAGCCCTTTGAGCCTGCACCACCATCCGTATGATCATGGCTGATCATGCAATTTCAGTATTCCATTCCCACCTCTCCCCAAACCCCTTGATCCCTTTAGCCGCAAGGTCCATGTCCAGCTCGTTCTCAAATATTTCTAATGATCTGGCCCCAACAGCTTCTTGTGGGAGAGAATTCCACAGGTTCACAACTCTGAGTGAATAAATTCTTCCTGAATGGCTTATCTCTTATTCTTAGACTGTAACCCTTAGTTCTGGACTTCCCCAACATCGGGAACATTCTTCCAGCATCTAGCCTGTCCAGATTCATCAGGATTTTATATGTTTCTCTGAGATACCCCCTCATTCTTCCAAATTCCAGCGATTACAAGCCCAATCGATCCAGTCTTTCTTCATAGGTCAGTCCTGCCATTCCCGGTCTGGGGAACCTTTGCTGGACTCCCTCAATAGCAAGAATGTCCTCCCTCAGACTAGGAAACTAAAACTGCCACATTACTCAAGGTGTGGCCTCACCAAGGCCCTGTATAACTGCAGCAAGAAATTCTTACTCCGATACTGAAATTGTCTTACTGTGAAGGCCAGCATGCCATTAACTTTCCTCACCGATCATGATGGCAGCCTTTCCGCAGCAATGAGAAGTGTAATTGGAGTCCATGGATGGGAAGTTGGCTTCCGTGATGGTCTGGGCTGTGCACACCATCTTCTGTAGTTTCTTATGGTCCTGAGCAGAGCAGTTGCCATACCAGGCTGTTATGTACCAGGATTGAATGCTTTCTGTGGTGCATCTTAAAAGTTGGTGAGGGTCCTAATAGACATGCTGAATTTCCTAAGCTGCCTGAGGAAGAAGAGGCATCGCTGTGCCTTCTAAACCATTGCATCCACGTGGGAAGTCCAGGACAAGTTGCTGGTTAGCGTCACTCCTAGAAACTTGACGTTCTCCACCCTCTCAACCTCAGCTCCATTGATGTAGATGGGAGTGCGTCTTCCTCCTTTCTTTCTGTAATCAATGATCAGTACTTTTGTTTTACCGACATTGAGACACCATGTCACCAAGGCCTCTATCGCCTTTCTGTATTCTGACTCAGCATTGTTTCATATCCGTCCTACCACAGCGGTGTCATCAGCAAACTTGTAGATGGCATTCATTTGGAATTTGGCTCCACAGTTGTGGGTGTACAAGGACAACAGTAGGGGGCTGAAAAGGCATCCTTGGGGGGCACCAGTGTTGAGTGCTATCGTGGAGGAGGTGCTGTTGTCTACTGATTGTCTACTATTCACTGATTGCAGTCTGTGGGTCAAGAAGATGAGGATCCAGTTACAGAGGGCAGAGTCGAGACCTAGGTCTTGGAGTTTTGAGATCAGTCAGGAGGGAATAATGGTGTTGAAGACTGTAGTC